ACATTTAATTTTTATTTCGCGTAATTAATGCAAACTGACACTAATACTAATGAATGTTAATAAATAGATATTAAAACAAAATTAGATAAATATTATTTTAATAATTGGCCACAAAGAAATTTAAAAGTTATTATATATTATTACATARGCATTAAGATAGATTCTGTTTATATCATAGATAGGGATAGGTAAGCGAATAATATTATTAAAAATATAATTATATAATACCATTAGATAAGTATATAATATAATATGATTAATAATATTACTTTTTAACTTTCTTTAATAATTTCAAGGTTTTTAGGCTTTTAGGTTTTAGCATGCATTGTATAATATATTTTAGAAGATTTTGTCACGACTGGGGAAGGGAGATTTACACCCACTATTTGATCATTAAAAATTTAATTTAATCTTGTAACTTTATAAGATCATGGATATTGAAAAAATTGTCATGGGGGATCCACACCCCCACCCCTGCTATGATTTTTTATATATAAATATATATATATAATAATATAATCACCAGCCAAATATTAAATATAATTTATAAGTCAAAAGTAAGTGGGTATGTAGTATAATAATACAACATACACCAGTACCTACCTAACAAATAACAATAGTATTTATTACTGAGATCTTTATAGTTCATCGATATATTAATCAATTGTTAAAATATTGTTTGTTTTTGAATAAATGAAATATCTTTGTTGACTTCTGAATCCTGAAAAAAATATCAAAYCATATTATCTACCATATAGTATTATGTAAAAAACTTAAGCAATGGMATTTTCCAAGTGTACATCCCTGGTTACGACACTGGCTTTATCTCAACTAATTTCATAAATATTATTAAGAACAGAAAAACAACCAAGTATAGGTAACCAAATAATAGGTATTATCCATGTAATAATTATGTCTATAATATATTATCATTGATGATTAAAATAGTGTCTCAATTAATCAAAATTCGTGTACGTATGCTTATTTTTTAAATTTTTCCATATAAAATTAAGAGCTCATAAGTTGARTAGGTACATCGCGGGATACATAAAAACAAAATAATAACAACACATAGGTACTACATATTATTTTCTCATGAAAAGTAATTATAAACAAAAGATTTAAATATACTACAAACAAAAAAAAAAATTGGTGGAACATAATCGCAGTGCCAGAATGGCATACACAAATATTAAGAGTAACTATAGCTGTCTCGCCTGACGTTTGCTGGCCCAAAATTTGTATTTGTAATAAATATTATAATTGTAAAAAAAGCACGTAAGTATAGTATAGATTACAAGTGGATGAATGAGTCTGTGTGACGGATAGTGTTATATTTTAATTCAATGGGTAATATATTAATATTAAACCGCACATGTTATAGCATAAAACAAAGTTATTTTTATATTTCTTTGAATCTATAGATTTTGTATAGTGTATGGTTTTGTATATTTAGCGTACAATTAAAAAAATTKTACACCTATAATTGATTATTATTTTTAAAAATTCCGATTTATTATTTATTGACTATAATCTGAAAAGTTCTGTACCTAATTGATTATTATTTGAGAAAAAAATAAATTAGTTCATTATAATAAATAAAAATATATATTCTTGGTGGTAAAATTTAATATCCTTTATTATTTTAGATTTGTTTAAATACAAATTTTAACGTATGTATCTTTGAAGTAGGTATATGAATTAAACCAAGTCGTTATTATAAAATGTTTACGTAGATACATTTTCGTAAATGGGCAACGAATTAGTTTTTTTTTTTTTGCCACAAATGAGCAATACTACTCAACTAGGAATTTAGAATAATTTAGAGTAGTTGAACTATAACTAATTATTAGTTACACATCCAATATTCGATCTAATAGCTTTGATTAAAACTAAAAACGACATATCTGCAGTCTTATTATACCTATGTAGTTCACTCAGTACTTTATTGACTATAACCAAATTTTAAATTGTAATGTCTAAATAGTTTGTGATACAAATATTATCATCATATACGATGAAATATACCTAAGAAAAAATTAAAATATAACTCACTTGTCTTATTATTATGATTTATTTGTATATGTACTATGTAGGTAATACTGAGATCAGGAACATTCGTTGCATTTTGACAATTTTTTTTTGTTGTCACATATTAAAAGCAACATAAGCGTTTATCATTCTGTAAATGTAAATTTTAAAACAAATTTCATAAAATATGTTATTATTTTACAACAAATCTATTTCAGGTAAATGATTATCAAAAAATATACATATTATGTAGGTAGGTATAAACTTTAAGTCAATAGCGTACGCAGAAGTGTAGCTAACGGGCTGAAGCCCCCCTCATTGACAATATTGACATTATTATTTATTTTTATTTGCTTTTATATTTACCCATGCTTTAATATATTCTTCTAGTCTTTAGTGTTTAAATCGGTATTCGGAAAAAAAATCCCCGGAAAAAAAATCCCCAAAACTTTGTCGAGTTTGCAAAGTTTACTCATATAATATAATTGTACATCCTAAACGGAGACAAACAAAATATGTCGGTGTAGCGTCCTCTCAATAAACGCGATTACGATGTTATACCGACTGACCAATTAGTTTGAGTCCAGAACGCATAATAGCTGTTAATCGCATTATCGACACATAAAGACGTTATCTACGTATCGAAATCATTAAAGTAGTAGGTACAATTGAAAATAATAAAATGATCGAAACAAAATTTCTTAAGTCTAGAAAAATATTGTTGTTCTATATATTACTGCGGGCCTATATTGTTAACGATAACCTTAGACAGTCAGTATACTTCTATAGTTCCTGTACATAGTGCAGTGTAGAGTACCTTGTCTCTGAGTAATTTTTATATCTGTGACTGTGTAATTATGGAAATCCTTAAATCCACTCAAGGAAATGACAAAGTTTGTTTTAATGATTTTACTTACGTACGTCAAAAAGATTGTACCTAAATTTTTTATCAGATGGAGATGTTCAAAATATAGTTCGTTTAAGTGTCCAGCTATTTTAAAAACATCAAATACAATTAAAAATCCACGGGAAATCCACGATCATAATCATTCTGCAGATCGAAATGGTAAAATTTATTTAATTATTATATTTATACGTCCCTAATTTTTCGTTTTTTTTAATAAGTATTTTTTATTTTTTTATATTTATAATGACTTAAATATTAAATAAAAACACTTTTTCTCGTATAGATAATATCATTATTTATATATTTTATAAAATGAATGAATTAATTTAAAACATTATGTTATTTAATTACTGTACTATTTTTACTAAATGGCACTTACCAGTTTATAATAATAGGTAGGTATATACTAATTTATCAATATTAAAAATTATTATAATTTATATATGTATAGCTATAGCTGCCATAAAAATTCAACCGAAAATCAAAAATATAAAGCTTTAGCGTCAAATTATACTCCCGGCCAAATATTTTCAGAGGCAATCGAAAATGTGGCAGTAGATATTTTAGCTGAATTGCCTAAGGAAAGTCATATTAAACGTACCATTAGAAACCATCGAAGTTATCAYAATCCAAAAAAACCTCAAAACATACAAGAAATTATTATTCAAGGTATAAAATAGTATATTATATTTAGGAGAAATATGTACATATTATAGTTAACAATAATAATATCAATTTTTTATTATTAATTATTATTTTAGACATCTCTTTGTTCATTTATTATCATAATTATTTTTAATTTTTGCGTAATCTAGCTGTGTGATCAAAATAATATTATACCTAATAGTTATATCATTCAAATTTTATATATTTTTATTATTATTAATTATTATTTTAGACAGCTGTATCCAACAATTAGGTATAACTTTGGGGATTTTTTTTCCTAGATTCGTTTAAATCGTGTTTTTACTTAATTATTACAACCATAGTCTATAAATATGATATTATATATATACAACACTAATATACCTATATGACTAAGAAAGTATCAACTTTATTTTTCAAACTTTATCTTGATTCTTGAAACAGCTGAGTGAATTTTTTATTTTAAAGCCCCCTCCTTATTAAAAAGTCTTGCATACGCCACTGCTCACTGCATTGAATTATAAATTGTTTATAGAAAATTGCAATTAAAACTATTTTATTTACCTTAAAAGTCTTCAAATGGTTTTATTTTTTTCATTTGTACTGGTGAATAACAAGTACTGTTATTTGTGTCTTCTGGTGGTAAGTTCAATGATTCATCATCCGGTTTATCTAGAAATAATTATTAAAATATTTAGGTAATCAATCAATGCATAAACAAAAGTTTAAAATAAGTCGATAAGAAAATAATTTGCTCGCGATAGTTGAACAGGAAAATATTATTTTAATTAGGATCAACCCAACAGGCAGCCTATAACAAAGTTATATTAATAATCTCGAATTCTCGACTAGGTATACGCTGATTCTATACTTAATGAATCAGAACAATAAATTAATAAATTAGATTAAATTCAAAAAACTTTATACATAGGTACCTACATATAATACAAATACCAACTACGTATCATGTCATATTAAAGATTATATAAACTAAAAAAAAACTTCGCTAAGGGAATATTCTACTCGTGGCGTAAGTATTACGCCGTTTTTTTTTTATTTTGTATTATAATAAGTTTAATTCTAAAGACCGGGTTAAGTATTTATACATTGTGAATTATTATTGATACCAGGCATATCTAATCGAATATTATGTGACATTATAATAATAATTAATTACATTAATAATCTTCCTATTTAATTTTATATTGCATTTTCTTACAATTTTTTACGATTTAGCAATTTTTGTATACTTCATGTGATAAAAAATMCAAATCAAATTTTACAATAAAAATTTATCCTCTGATGTAAATTTTCACATTATGGTTTTTGTTAATAGTAGAGAAACATTATATTTATGTAGATGCGGTTAACGAATGTCCTAATAATGTTATTATAATTTATATTGATAAAAATAATGTACCTACCTATATTAGCCAATTACTATTCCAAGTCCCCAATGGGAAAACAGTTAATGACCTAGATGGCTAGATATGATATAGCAGGTAATAATCATAAATATTTGGAGAATAATATTATAGATTTTATATTTAAATATTTTACGAGGTTTAACGAATGCTGAAAAACGGGACCATTTAAAAAGGGAGCGCAGATCTAAAAAGCAGGACAATCTCTATGCCAGGATGTGTACGTCTAATCAGGTTAAATATAGATGTTAATTTCTAATATGTAAACCATTATTGATTTAGATTAGAAAAAATAGTTCTACTGGATTAGATTAATTTATTATTTTTTTTTTTTACCTAAATAAAAAATAATATCGATCAATGGTCATATACTATATAATCGTTAGCTTATTATCAATACTTATTCATTTTTAAATTCATAATACATTTTAAGTCTGAGGATATAATTATGTATTTAAAATACCTATTACAGTCGAGTCTAGATAACTCAAACCTCGAAGGSAATAAAAATATAGATTCAACTTAAAAATGTTGAAAAATTTCAAGATACCTATATGGCTTTTCGTGTTATCGAGATTTAAGATATCACGACTTTTCTGTATGCGTATAATATTTACCATAACTTATAATAAAAGTGTTGTTATAAACTGGTCGGCAACAATTGAATAATAAGCATTTAGACCAAAAACAACAAACAACACACAGTATACCAATTAACACACAACTAGTTATGAAACATATTGCGATGATCATAAGCCAATCAGTTGGATGTTCTTGCATGTTAATTATGCTGAAAATATAATAATGCATATTAATATAATTTTATATACGAGAAAAATATAAAATATTCACGATGTTGGTACTTACATTTTATAAAAAACAAAACAACAGGAGATTAAATTAAAAAATATAACTTAGTTGAAGACACTGATAAGAACTTTTAAAATATCCTCTTTTTCACGATGAATTATGATATCATATAGTTGATAATTTTTCCTGTAACAATAATAGTAAAGGTATTTGTTATATTATTTTTATTTTTAAAGAAGTAAGTACTTAATTGAATTAAATAATAATGCCRGTTAAAAAAATATAAATAAAWATGCTTACGTTTAGTTTAGATAACAGTAATTATTATTATAATAACATAAATGATAGATAGACTTAGCATAGGTACTTGTATAATAAGTATATTAGGTGATTTTAACTATGATTTTTTTGAGTAGGTTGGTAGRTAGGTACCTCACGCGATACGTAATACGATTGTTTCTCACCCAAAAAAAATGTATAAAAATAACTGAATTGGATTTTGAACGTAAAACTGATAAATTTTATAATATATACTATTGTTTTTATAAAATTCCATAACCCATACCTGATACCTATAAGCTATGTCAAATAAAACCTATTTTAATAGTTTCCTTATTGTCATTTTATATTGGTTAAGTTCCGTTTTTTTTTAGTAATCTAATCAAATCTTATAAAATTATATTTTCTTAAATTGTTATAACTATAGTCGTTTCCTATATTATTATTATTATTATTTCCTAATGAAAAGCGATAATACAAAATTTTAAAATTTAACATACTAATACATACCAATAAAGAATTGGGAACAGTTTATTATACATTTATCACTAACTTTTAATTCAATAACGTAATGTCACGTGTAAGCTGYATTAAATTGTACCTACATATTATATTCTACAGGGAATATAAATATGGAAATTTATCAAAGCAATGTAAGTTATAACTTTAATTTAAACATAACTTCTATAAAGTTCGAATCAATTTTATGACTAACTTTTATCTGAACTAGGTAAAAAATAATTTTTTTTTAAATTAACAACTATAAAGTTATAATGTTATTAATTTTTAATTTTTAACAAAATATAGTACACACCAATAATTATTTTATTAAATTAAAATTTAATTCTAAAAAGTTGGTAACCTTAATTGTAATAAATATTTAAAACAATGCTGGGAACTTATTTGTTTGTATATTAATTATTAATATGCTTAAATCTATCTATGCATCGGGCATACCACATAAATCACTTGAGAACCAATCCGTATGCACTATGCAGACTCAAATTGGGTTTATATAAATCATTATTCTAAGCTCTAAGCCCTATTTATATAATAAGGCTCTGAACAAAAGAGCGGCTGTTCAACGGCTATAGTCTACACAAAAATCTTAATTATAAGTACGACAAGGACCTTTTTAGTTTTTACTCCCCTACGTAGTCATAATCAGCCATATTTTGACATTTATTCTCTTTGTATAGGTACTCATTTTCCTCAATATATGTATATTTTATACATAGACCTTATACAAAATAAAAGTATAAGGTCTATGATTATATATATTATAAGATAAAACTGAACAGATATTTTTTTAGCGTGTTTACGGTTTGTTTGTTTTACTATTTGTGAATGCTATTGTTAAAGAGTGTGCATTTTCATCTCATATCGTATATATAATATATTTATACCTAATCCTTATTTTTTTTTTACAGATTTTTAAAACAATTGATAAGCGTTTATGTGACATAAATAATATTTTTTAAAGGGTATTTTGATAGTTTTGAGACATTAATGTAATATTTTTTTTTTGGAAATTCAATTATCCTTATACCTACACATATAGGCATCTAAAGACTACCGGGTGCCAGTATTGTGCTAAACAGTTCTCACCAGGTCTTAGTTTTTTTCTGGTAAAAAAAGACACCTAAAGACTAAAATTTTAAATGAATATTAAGTAAGTACTGAGAGAAGTAATGTGAATTTCGTTCCATCATATCCAGCTATACCTCACATACAAAAAAATACTTAAATGTTATTATTAGTATATTATCTTCATTATACAATTATCTTTCCTTTTCTGTTATTAATTTTAATATAAAAAAAAATATATATATATAATATATATAATTAACCTTTTTGTATAATGTATAATACCTTATTTATACTAATAATATATGAACTTAATCGTTTTTATTTGTATCAAAGAAAAATACGATAGATATTATTATTACAATTTTAATGTTTAATACCTAATAATTTTTAAATCTGAGAGTTATGATCGGTTTTGTACCTATAGTTATGGTTGGCAATTGGTAATTTTATTTTATTCTATTGTATTCCTTGTAACTATTAGGTCTAGTTGGCACTATGACAGACGACAGTACGTGTTATTCCAATAATATTTGTTAAGGAACCGGTAAAATGTTTTAGAAGACTTAAGTGTTCAGCTCTGGGCGTTCATAAATTAGTGAGCATCATGAGCAACTGTAATAATTACACTTGACCAAAAAACTGTGACCAGACCTGCGCGTTTAGCTGGCCGTTTTAGTTCTAGATAGTATATAATATGATGGTTAGGAAGCGTAAATTGATTGAATAAATCAAATTTAATGGATTTAGTTCATTACATTTCTGTACTTAACCTTCTGAACTAAAAACGGTCAGTTCACACATGTTAACCAGCTCAATTACTCACCATATATTCTATATCTATAATAGGTACCTACTAAATTATTAACATAACGTGAAAACTAAACTAGTTGACTATAGTTAACTATAATAGCCACTTTTATATAGACTACAACTACAACGTTACAGGTATCTTATCTGCTGGTTTCAATATACCATGTATAATGTCAATACACGCGTAATATATCTATTACCTTTTATCTATAAACKAAAACCACTTGTATTTTTTTCTTAAAATTATTCGAGAGGAAAATTTCTTGGGACCATGTGTATATAACTGATAAGTAGGGCTGTGAGAATTGAATACATTTAAAAAACTTAAACAATACACTGAAAACCTTAAAAAATTCAGTAAAAATTCACTAAGCGTATATGTACTAATTGTATAAGGTATACAAAGAACCATCAATTGTTAAATATAAAAATCTATTAATTGTAATGTTTTAAATTAAGATATTATTTAGATATAAGATATAAGATGTTATAAGTGTGAATAAATCAGTCAAAAACCGAGCAATAATTTAATCAGGCACATCTGCGAAGACGCACAAATTAAAATSTATCCTGGATTAAAAATGTAATTGTACAGGTAAGATGTAATTAGAAACTAATTTGATAATTTGATATTGGGTCGGTATTTCGTATTTTGTTTATATCTACTATAATAATATTACTATAAATAATACATTTGGTATCGTTTAATTTATTGGCGATTCACCTTCTGCTATTAACTTAAAATCATACGATATAGAATAGATATGAAACGTACATTTTCATACCCATATTTGGTACTCTAATTCGCTAAAATCATTATTAAAAAAAATCCTATTAATTATCATTATTCTATTCTGATTTAAATATCGAGCTTGATGTATCTCAGTTTAAGGACTTAGGCATTATTTTTTACTCCAATTTAAAATTTTCCCCTCACACAGAAATGATAAAGAATAAAGATATGCGTAATTTGGGTTTTATTAAGCGCACTTGTGGCTCATTCATGGATCCTATTCKCTCGGAAATTATTAACCTAACCCATCAAAAAGTGAAATTGAATTTAACAAGTTAGACACCTGGTCTTATATTATATTTAAATTGAGTTTTGTCAACATTCGACTTAAAAAAAAAAAATTAAAATTAACCGTTAGCTCTTACTTAAGTTTCATTTATAATTAATAGGTAAAATACCTATTAGGTACMTAACTATCACTTAAAAATAATTATGATCTACATTTATATAAAAACATAATGCCTTATACATATTACATAAATTATGAAATATAAAAAAATATATAATAATATTGTTATAATCAAAGATTAAACGTCAACACTTATTTTAGAACGTTAAATACACAAACAAATATAATAACACAATATGTATGCCCTTCACCAAGATTTTCATATCAATTACAAAGACTTAATTGTGTCATGCACTGTTAAATTTACACAGGTGCCTACGAGGTAGGTATATACTTTCTAAACCAAAAAAAACTACTTTCTAAAAGTATTTATAGTACCAATTTTAAAAATATACATTATTAAATATAAGGAAAATAATTTTCAAAGATCTAGTGTTTATTGTTTAATTACGAATTTAAAAAAAAATATATATATATATATATTAAATAAATAAATAAAAATATAGCTGCATAATATTAGTTATATGTAATATGTATTTAAAAATCACCGAATTAATAATACAATAATATTATACTACTCATAAAGTCATAAATCATAACACATATTAATCATTTTATTATAAAAACCATATCAAATGCATCATATTATACAAGCTAAAAAACCTATGTAATATTCTATTTAATTTAATTGAAAATAAATATGAATTTTGTATTACATATAATATGCACCTATGTAATAATTGTTCTCATCGTAAAGCTATGTAGTAACATACACCTAACATTTTTTTTWTTATTATTAATTTTAAACTTCATTGTAAATTGAGATAAAAATATATCATATAGTTAATTTAAAGTAAAATATTTGTCTAGATGACAAGTGACGACGTAATGTATGATCTTTTGATTGTGTTCATTGTTATATTATACACAATATGTATATATTATAACATAATCATAAAATAATAGGGGCACCATACTAGACACTATAWATTAAATTATACTTGTCGTACATAATATTATAATTTGTAATTAGGCGGGAAACGAGAGCGTATTATTTATAACGATACTTCAGCCATGTACAGTGAATAATAATAATTATGCACTTCTACGTACAATACAGATATAGCTAGTGTACTATTATTATTAAAAATTATTTCCATAATTCTAACTTAAATAATTATAATTAATACTCACTTTTGTGCGTATATTAATATGTATTGTATCATACACCGAAATGCACGCTGCAGGTATTGCAACTACCTGTACGCAATTATAATATAATGATACGAATTACGGTGCAATAATTTTGCGCGACGAAATGCAACGATGAATCGATGAAAAGAAAACACGAACACTTTTATTGATCTGCAGTAGATATTATTATTATTATTATTATTATTATTGTTGTTGTTGTTGTTGCTGCTGCTGCTGCTGTCTTGCTACCGTCCGCCGCCAGCGCCAACTCGACGACACCATGTATGGACTTTCAGTCTACGACTGGGGACTGCAGCTCACCCGAGTGCCGCGACTACACAGCGCAGCACTTGTGACAAGCGGGTGGCCGACTCCGAGCGCCTGCTCGTACCTACATTATTGTAGCGTAAACCGACGACGCAGCAACACCACGATGAATAAAAATCAATCGGAATGAAGCCGACCGCTAGATGGCGTCACGAATCCCGTCGAGAATATCCACGAATATTATATTTTTATTCGTTTGTATCTATCTATAATCTATAATAGTACCTGGGTACCTCATGAAAATAATAATACTATTGTATTTTGAACATKTGTAATGCGTTACAGATTTCTGCACCAAACGTGTGATCATATGGGGGAAGGGGGCTTGTTTCAAGCTCACGGGCGATTACCATAATGTCTAGCTAACTTCAAACGCTCGTTTTTAAAAAATAATTTTTTTATAAGAAACATACAATCAGTACCCTAAGGTACAATAAAACTATAGGAAAATGTACAATGATATTATGAGTTGTTGGGAGAAGCCACCCGTAGTGACACTTCCTATTGACTTTTTTTTAACTACTTATTCAACCATCGGTTTTTTTTTTTTTAGTTTTATAGGAGACCTCTGCACAGTCTGCACCATTTCAAACGCTCGTAAAAAATTTAATTGTCTTCCATTAATCTTTTTTTTTTTTTGTTAAATGTATAGTAGAACAGTTAAAG